CAAGCCCCCAACCCAGGAGGTATGAGCCCCAGATAAGTCACGAGCCCTCCATGTCCTCCCCACCAGATGTGCAACATGCTTGGCCTAGGGGACATGAACGCAGACCAACTGGCCTCCAAGCTGGAGGAGACACTGCCCGTCATCCGATCCGTCAGCGAGCAGTTCAAGGACCCTGTGAGTCACGGTACAGGTGGGCAGTGAGAAGCTCAGGGGTTGGGGACAGGGCCAGCACCTGGCCCTCACTGTTTTCTCTCACACCCTGCAGGAGCAGACAACCTTCATCTGCGTGTGCATCGCCGAGTTCCTGTCCCTATACGAGACAGAGCGGCTCATCCAGGAGTTGGCCAAGTGCAAGATCGACACGCACAACATCATTGTCAACCAGCTCGTCTTCCCAGACCCTGAGAAGCCCTGCAAGATGTGTGAGGCCCGCCACAAGATCCAGGCCAAGTACCTGGACCAGGTGCGCATGCCCAGCCACCTGTCCAGCCCTCACACCTCTGATTCTGGCAGCGGGGGCCTGGCCTAGCCTAGCCACAGCACTGCTAGCCATTTACTCTATGTTCTGACCCTTTGCTCCATCCCATTCCAACCTCCTGCCCTTCACCCCTACTTCAGACCCTTCCCCCTAATTCTGGCCCTCAAGGACTATGGCTGGCCTGGCCCGGTTACCTCTGACCCTGGGGAGCGGGAGGTCTGGCCCAGGGTTCTCAGACCTCACTGGCACCGCCCCTACCTTTGACCTATAAAGCCCCTAACCCTGGGAAGCCCCCATCCTGACCACTTCCATCTACCCACATTCAGTCCCTGCCCTGCAGCTCCCTGACCGCTACCCTCTGCTCCTTGCCGCAGATGGAGGACCTGTACGAAGACTTCCACATTGTGAAGCTGCCTCTGCTACCCCACGAGGTGCGGGGGGCAGACAAGGTCAACACCTTCTCCGCCCTCCTTCTGGAGCCCTACAAGCCACCCAGCACCCAGTAGCACCGCTGCCAGCCTCAGCTGCTACCATTTCACACCCATCCTCCACCGTACCGGGGCAGAGTTTGCACAAAGTACCCCCATAATATAGGGGGAGCCACTTGGGAGGTAGGAGGCGGGGAGGGGGTCTCTTCCCCCTGGTGGGGCTGGGGAGGCTGTAGTTGCCCTCACCTCTCCCTGTCTCTCGCTCCTCAATAAAATGATCTTAAACCACTGTGGGTATTGATACAGGGAGTTTGGGCATCAGCGCCTCCATGTACAGTTGCACAGGTTGTACACTGTGCAAAAATGGCACATCTAGAGAGGCGCAGTTAAAACAGACCTAACAGGTGTGTTTATTATGGTAATTTTGGAAAGTGGGTGTCTTCAGTAAGGGGGTGTTTTTTCTAGCTCTAGGAGTAGGGGTGTCCCTGCCGTAAAGCTTGGAGTGGAAGAGGGGCATCTGTCGACTTCCTTTGAGGCTCAGAGTGTGGGAACCAGGAGACCCCTTGGAAAGCCCCAGGCTAGTGGGGAGCGGATTAGGCCGGCAGCTGGCCCAACACTACCTGCTGTTTGGTTTGGAAATTAGCAGGCACCCTGGGCAGAGGCTGGGCCGGCCAGACAGAGGATTAACAGTCTCCACCCCCCCAATTTCTGCCCCTGTGGGATGGCATCAGCTCCTCCCAACACAGGGCTGCAACTGGGAACAGGATGGCAGAGGACTCAGTCCAGAGGAATCCCTGAAGTCCTGTCCTGGCTCCAGCGCGGTCTCACTGAGTGGCCTCATGTTTCCTGTAGTTTGAGCTTCATCCCAAAAATGGAGACAGTGTGGCCATTCACAGAACCAGGACACAAATTCACCTGACCCTGAAAGGGTCAGCACAGCAGCCTGGAAGGCACCTAGCGGGCATCCTTAACCCCTTCACTCCTCCCTCTGCCACTGCCTGGACAGCCACCTTCATCCCCACCTGAGACCCAGAACTGGGATGACCTTGGGCGTTTGCAGATTCCAAGCCAGAGCTGGTTTGGGGGAGGTGGGGTGGGGTGGACAAAAGGTGCCTGAGGACACGAATGAGTCAGGAAGTGGTGTTCAAACTTCACACCCAGTGTCTGGGCGTGCCAGGGTGTGCGTGCGTGTAAGGGGAACCCAGCCACGAGCCCAAACGTATCCCCTGACTCGATTGCACTGGGTTTGTGCAAGCGAGTTTGGGCATGTTAGGGTGGCACTTGTAAACAAACACGGTGGTGCAGCCAGTGGCAAAGACCTCAGACTCCCAGCCAAACTGCCTGGGTTCAAGTGCCAGCTGTGCCAGGAACAGCCTGTGTCATCTGAGCCTGTTTCCCTACCTGGATAGCAAGAATGACAAGCACCAACTTCATAAGCCTTTTTGTAAGGACTCAATGACATGAAATAAGGAACGCCTTTACAACAGCACCAGGCATGTACCTGCCAAGGAGTGTTTGTTATTATTCACTGCTACAATTATTAAGCATGTGAACTAGCCTGGGCAACCTGCCCTTACCCCATCGGGGGTCCAGCAGTCAGAAGTGCCTGTGGGGACACAGCTGGGAGAGGAATAATGGGAGGGAGGAAGAGGAGGGCTGGTGTGTATAAAGACATGTCCTAGGGAGTGGGGACCTCTGGTCAGGAACAGAGCCCCATCAACTTGAAGCCTGTGCCCTCCCAGGGCCCGCAGCTAGCAGTGCCACCCCTTGCCCACTTTTATGGGCTGGACAGCAGCTGGACAGCGGAGGTGCGGGTTCAAGAGTTACCAGCCCCGGCCGGTTCCTAATTACCCCAGGCGGGGCAGACATCTGCCAGACTGGGAACAAGGTGTCCTAGCTGCAGGGCTTCGGGGTGGGGCCACATAAAGCCATCCAAACTCAGCACATGGAGTGGACTCAGAGGGGCCCAGGAGCCGGATCCCTGAGCCTCCACCTCTCAAACACCAGGCTGTGAGTTTGAGGTCTGGGATAGGGAGGCTGTTTGTGCCAGGCTGGGAGTGCTCCCTTTATAGGCATGTCTGTGAAGGGTGAACAACTGTATTTATGCCAAACGTGGGGACAAGTTTTTGTGTCCCCAAGCTTGTGTGTTCATGACAATACCGAGAGGGTCTGAGAGCTGAGGTATGTGTATGGGGGGTATGCCTGCACACTGCAGTAAAGGGGCACTGGGGAGAGGGGTCTTATTTATTGATGTGCAAATGCAGGTGAATTTCATGAAGGGTTATGGGTGTGACCCCGTCTGTATGTGCCTCTCAGGACCTGTGGGGCTGTTGGGGGGAAAGGTCGCTGTTGTATAAGTGTGTCTTTGCAACACTGGTAGATCTAAGGGACCCCAGGAGCATGTGCAGCTGTGTAGAGGGGCAAGCGTTCCCACATCTGTTGTGTGACCACGGGTGTGTCTTTCTGCTGGGAAGATCTCGACTGTGTATTACCACCCTCTGTGTGATGGCGTATGGCTGTGTGTGTGAAGGCTTTCTGGGCTCTGAATAGGGTCTGTGTTTGGCTGATTGTGTGACCTTGTGTGTGTCTTTGTTACATGGCGTGATCAGGAGGGAATGTGGGGTCCCTGGGTCCCTGCCCACTTGCTCCTGGGTGGCTCTTTGGTGGCTGAGGGCTGTGAGCCTGCTGGGATAGGGTCATCTGCCTTATACCTGAATGTTGGAGAAGGTATAAGGTGAAGAAGCGAGGTGTCTTGTGTGACTTTGCAACAGTGCATACTGCCCTCTGGGTCGCCGTGGTTGTGGGTCAGTGTTAAGGGAAGCTGAATTTGTGCCTGGGTCTATGGCATGTGTTTCTGTGTACATCTTTGTGACAGTGTATGATTACAAATGACTGTGGAGTGACCCAGCCTCACTTAGCTCTGTGTGTGTGTGTGTGTGAGTGAGTGAGAGAGAGAGAGACAGAGACAGAGAGACAGAGACTGAGAAGGACACAGTTCCTGCCCCATCCCCCAGCTCTAGGTCCAAGATCCCTTGGACCTGCGAGTGACTGACTGGGAGAGAGTCGCAGGGGAGCAAGAGAGGCCTGGGTGGATTTCTCCCCCTGCTCCAGGTTGTTAACAAACTGGCCAGACTTCTCCAAACAAAGCTCTGAGGCTGCAACCCAGGGGGGCGGGGGGGGGGCAGGGAGGGACCATCCACGCCCATTTCTCAGTCCCCTCCCATCCTGGGGTCTGGCTTCAGCCCCACCCAACTCTGAAGCCACCTGCCTGTCCTGTGTCTGTCCTCGAGTGTCCTGCACACACCATCAGGTGAGAAGGGCCCAGGCCAGGTTGAGTAGGGGACCCTGAGGATAGGTGAACCTGCAAGCAGGAATCAGGCAGGAATCATCTGCGTCTGGAGTGAAGAGCTTGGAAGGCTGGAGGAGAACGGACAGAGGAAAGATCAAGGTGGACCCAGGAGAAGGGGAAGAACAATTCAGTGGGGAGAGTGAATAGGCTGGGGCAGCTGTGCAGGAGAGGGGGCCAGTCTGAGGTGGGGGAATGCTGCAGGAGGGAACCTGGGAGCCTGGAGGTTGAGTCCAGGGCCTCGGGGCAGAGACTGGGAGCTGGGGGGAAGCGGGGAGCAGAGATGAGATCTGAGAGAGGGGAATCGGGGTAGGCAGTCGGAGCCCTGAGAACCTAGAAACAGAGGCTCTGGAGACTCGGGGAGTGTGGGAGGCTGTAGATGGAGCCCAGGTAATGGGGATGGGATCCGGTAGAAGGCAACTCGGTTAACCCAAGGGTTTAGGGGTTGGGGCTGATGAGAGGGCCTGGGGAGGTAGGCGCAAGACGCAGGGAACCGGAGTCCAAGGAAGGAAGTGACCTGCGAGAGGGGTCTTGGGAGGGCTGGCAGCTAGGTACCGGACTGAACAGAGCTAGGAGAAGACGGAGAAGGCCGGGTGCGGAATGGGACGCTGAGCTGAGTCACCCCGTACCTCTCCCCACCGCCCGCAGCCCCCAGCCCGGCTCCCTCCCGACCCCCCCGTTCCTCGGCCCACAGGCCGGGGTCCCGGTTCAGCCCCATCTCCTTTGGCCGGACCGGTCCGGCGCCGCGATGACCGTCACGTACACAGCCCGTGTGGCCAACGCGCGCTTTGGCGGCTTCTCGCAGCTGCTACTGCTGTGGCGCGGGAGCATCTACAAACTTCTGTGGCGGGAGCTGCTCTGTTTTCTCGGGCTGTACATGGCGCTGAGTGCCACCTACCGGTGAGGGGGCCTGGGGTGGGCGTGCCGGCCAGAAGGGGCTGGGAAGGAGCTGGGAAGGGGCCCGGGTGTGCCCAGGGCTGAGCCCGAGAAGAGAGGTGGCAGCTGGGGAGGCGGCTCGCCCGTGACCCCGCGCCCCTCCCTTGCAGCTTCGTGCTGACCGAAGGGCAGAAGCGCTACTTCGAGAAGCTCGTCATTTACTGCGACCAGTATGCCAGTCTTATCCCGGTCTCGTTCGTGCTTGGTGTGTCTGACCTCCTGAGTTCCCCATCCCCTGATCCAGAGAAACCTTTCCATTCATGGCTTTAGGAGACAACCCCATTCCTGCCCCTCTGATAGCCCCTCAAATCCAACCCCACAGATCGCCATTTCTGCGTCTTTTATGCCAGGTTGCCAGGTGTGTCCCCCATTCCCAAGACCTTGGATATCACCTGGTCACAGTGCCCCCCCCCACCTCCCCGTGAGAGCTCCATGTCATCCACATGCTTATTCCTGGTCACCTCAGGGACTCCCACTTGTGTCTGCATAAGATTATTAGTGCCCCCCTTCCCATGTCCTGGGCCCCAGGGACCTCCTAGGCTCCATCCTCTCAAGTCCAGCCTGGCGCGTAATTCTCTGACAAGTCCTGGCCCCCAGCCTCCTTCCCACTGTTCTCTGCCCACATGGATGGGGTGACCAGCCTAGCCAGGCTCCTTGACATAGACCCTGTGGCCAACCCCTTCAAACATCCCTGGCTCAGGGGCTCCCTGTGGCCTAGGTGAAAACCTGCCTATGGGCCCTGGGTCTCTGCCTCCGTACTGCGATCCCAATCCCTCATCCCGGGTGACTCCCAAGTAGCCAGAGTGATCCAGCCTGCTCCATACACTCTGACCTTAGGACTGGAACCCCAAGTTCCAAGGCCAGGTGGCCCTGTGTGGTCAGGGTGACCAGCCTGCCTGGTGATCCTGATGCAGACCCTATGTCACTCCTCTTCCTTCACACCACCTGGCCCACCAAGCCCCTGGCTCTAGTCTCCCCACTAAGCCCCCACTCAGCCATCCCCGGCTCTCCTGCAGGCTTCTATGTGAACCTGGTGGTGCACCGTTGGTGGAACCAGTACCTCTGCATGCCTCTGCCCGACGCACTCATGTGCATAGTGTCAGGCACCGTTCACGGGCGCGACGAGCGCGGCCGCCTCTACCGGCGCACACTCATGCGCTACGCAGGCCTCTCAGCTGTGCTCATCCTGCGCTCTGTCAGCACTGCAGTCTTCAAGCGCTTCCCTACCATAGACCACGTGGTTGAGGCTGGTGAGGCTCGGGCCGGAAGCGGGGGCAAGGCCAAAACCGAGGGCAGGGCTAGTGACAACCCTCCAAACCTCCCCCCGCCCACCGCAAGGACGGGAGGGCGGGGCCAATGACCCTCGACTTCGCCCCTCTAGGGTTTATGACCCGCGAGGAGCGCAAGAAGTTCGAGAACCTGAACTCGTCCTACAACAAGTATTGGGTGCCCTGCGTCTGGTTCTCCAACTTGGCCGCACAAGCCCGGCGCGAGGGCCGCATCCGGGACAACAGCGCCCTTAAACTGCTGCTCGAGGTGAGCTCGCCAGCTGGTCATTAATACAAAATACCAGGGAAATTGTACCCCACTCCCCTGGAGTTGTGTCAAACAGCAGCCTGCCACGCACCTCCCACAAGGCCAATTCCAAAGACCTTTACCCAGCAGCCCCCAGGTGCACATCTGTAGGGTCCCACACCCCAGTTGTACACTCACCACTAAATACTCTTCGTGGAGCCCTCAGAAGCACACGCCACCTCCCACCAGGTCACCACTCACCTCCATTCCAAGTACCCACATTTAATACCCACGTGTGAGCTCACAAGTCAGGCCCCCTCAATGACAGTATCCACCCCCAGGAGCTGACTGTGTTTCGGGGCAAGTGTTCGATGCTGTTTCACTACGACTGGATCAGTGTACCCCTCGTCTACACTCAGGTAACCCCTCTGTGCCTCCATTTATATCCAGCGTCAGACGCACTGGTCTCAAGGGGAAACTGAGGGTCAGCTAAGACCCCGTCACAGTGACGCCTGATCCTAGCCCTGGTCTCTCCACGACCCCCTCTGGCTGGGACAGCCCTGACCGGGAGGACTGCCCGCCTTCAGGTGGTGACCATCGCCGTATACAGTTACTTCCTGGCCTGCCTTATCGGACGTCAGTTCCTAGACCCTGCGCAGGGCTACAAAGATCACAACCTTGACCTGTTCGTTCCAGTCTTCACTTTGCTGCAGTTCTTCTTCTACGCAGGCTGGCTCAAGGTGGGTGGGACCCCCCCCCCATCGGGATTCCGGTTGGTGGGCGGGGAGGGGTCTCCGCCTACCTACGCCCTCCCCTCTCAGGTAGCCGAGCAGCTCATCAACCCTTTCGGAGAGGACGACGACGACTTTGAGACCAACTTTCTGATCGACCGAAACTTCCAGGTGAGACTTCATAGCGAACATTCTGGGGTTCCCACAGTGGCCCCCTCCCCAAGACTTGCCCAGGCCTGGCCTCTGAACCATCCTCTCTTTGGTACCACACTCACCCATCTTGAGAGGTCCACCCCGTGGTGCCTGTACCTTGTCACACCCCCACCCCCACCCCCACTTAGTCCCGTGCCTGCGCCCCCGCAGGTGTCCATGCTGGCCGTGGATGAGATGTACGACGACCTAGCCATGCTGGAGAAGGATCTGTACTGGGATGCGGCTGAGGCTCGTGCCCCCTACACAGCAGCCACCGCCTTCCAGAGGCAGCAGCCCTCCTTCCAGGGCTCCACCTTCGACATCACGTGAGCCAGCAGGGTGGGCCGGGCCTCTGGTGGGGAGGCTTATGGCTCTGCACCGAGGGTCTGATTGAGGGGGCTTTAGGGTACCACGACTAAGGGCTAAATTCTGGAGATTCGGAGCTAAGAGCTAAATAAAGCCTACGAGGACAAGGATTGGGGTCAAGATGTGGGACCAGGCAACTAACTGGGAGAAGGGCTAAGGACTAAGGTGTATGAGGTCTGGATGGGTGGCTAGAGGCGATACCAAAGGAGACACAGCAGAGAAACAACTGAAGCTGTGAGGCCTGAGTTTGAGCAGAACCTGGGCCGGAGGATAAGGCCAGGTTCTTATGTGAGGGGTCAAGGTCTTTCGGTATAAGTGTGACAAAGGGGTGGGTGGAGCCAGGAAAAGCTGTGGGCTTAGGTCCCAGCTCTGTTAACCAAGGAGAAGGGCAAGGTCGCAGCGCTAACCCGCTGTCTGTCCCACAGGCTGGCCAAGGAGGACATGCAGTTCCAGCGGCCAGACGGCGTGGACGTGCCGCTGGGCGAGGCTCAGGGTGACTTCTTGCAGCGCCTCCTTCCTGTAGGCCCAGGCATGGCTGCAGGAGGCCTGCTGGGCCGACGCCTGTCCTTGCTGCGCCGAAAGAACAGCTGCGTGTCCGAGGCATCCACTGCCGCCAGCTGTGTGTGCGCCGGAGCCCTCGACGGCGCGGCCCCAGAGTGCGGTTGCGGGGACCTACTGCTCGACCCAGGCCTCCAGGAACCAGAACCGGAGCCCCTCACTGGGCCCGAGCCATCCGCCACGGGGCCTGTCGCCGAGCCCTTTACCACAGTGTCCATGCCCATGTCCCGGGGACCGGCTCCCCCCTGGCTGCCCAGCCCCATTGGCGAGGAGGAGGAGAGTCTCGCCTGAGACCCTGGGGCCCAGGATCCCCAAGGACAGGAAGACAAGACGCGGGCACCAGCCCCGGCCTGCGCAGGCCGCCTGCCCGTTTTTGACCAGTTCTCACCTTCACGTCTGGCACAAGAGCTTGGAGCGCCTCCTGGGGGCCCGACACTGGGCTAAGGGCAGGGGATTCTTCCAGCTGCTTTGAGCAGCGCGTCCTTCCCACCAGCTCTACTTCCCACACCCCACTGCCTGAGAGGTCTCTATTAGTGTGTCCTGCCTTTATTGTTGGAGATGTGAGTGCCTACCTCTCTGAGTTGTCAAGATGGGATGATGAAATGACGGCTTTAAAGTGTTTGGTACATAATAGGTGCTCAATAAAATGTTAGTGGTTTCTACTCAAACGCTGTTAGCTTGACTTCCTGTCAGGCATTATGCTGTCAGATTTTAGAATTTTTTTTAGGTTATTTGATGATGCCTTGCCCATTCCCTCCTGAACTCTGTGCTCTGAAATGGCCTCATCAGTGTACACAGCTTTATTCATTCATTACTGTACCAGCTAGTCCCAGGACCACAGCTTCCTCCTGCCAGTCTTGATTTATGATTCTGTAAGCAACCTCTCCATCCCAAGTCCCTGAATTCTCAGATACCCTTTCAGTGCTCTTAATTCAATATGTCAATGACTCCTGTATTTAGTAGAAGTCCAGCTAGGATCCCTCCTCTGTCTCTAGCCCCGTAGCGCCAATTGTCTGCTCGGTGTCTCCATGTAGGGATCTCCCAAGCATCTTGACATAACATGCCCCCGAACCAGCTCCCTATCAGCTTCCCAACCTCTGTCTGTCGGCTTTGTCCTTCCAGATGATGAGGCCAAAACCTGGAGTCATCGGCAAATCCTTTTTCTCTCACTCCCCTTCACATCAACCCAACAGCAAATCCCATTGGCTTGGTCATCAAATTGTACCCCAAGTCCAACCATTTCCCTTTCTTCCAGGGCCCCCACCATGGCTGAGCCCCCACTGCCATGCACCTACAAGCTAGATTAGTGACCTCTGCCCTGGTCTCCCAGATCTGGCCCTGCCCACAGCAGCAAAGGGAGCCGGAATCAGGTAACGTCCCTCCTTTCCTTAGAATCCTCCATGACTCCCACCTAATGCAGAGTAAAAGCTAAAGTCTTCCTACAGCCCATGAGGCCCCCTGAACAATCTCCTTCCCCTCATTTCCTCTTTTCCCCTCACTCACTCCACACTGTCCCTCTAACTCACCCAGCAAGGTCTCATCTCAGGACCTTTGCACATGCTGTTCCCTCTGGCTGGATTGCTCTTCCTCAGATACTTACATGGCTCCTCCCACACATCCCTCAGGTCTCTCCTTAAATTATGTCACTTTGGTGAGGCCTCCCGTGCTGGGCTTTTATTAAAAATCACCATTTCCTGCATCTCCATCACTTCCATCTGCTTTATTTGTCTCTATAGCACTTCTCACATCAAACTTTTATCTATTCTGTTTACTGTCTGTCTCCCTTCATTGGAAATAATAGCTTCATAAGGCAAAGACTTTGTCTGAAGTTTCTTCAAAACCTACCACACATGCAGTTACACAAATGCAAATATGATTCTCACCTCCCACTAGGTACTATCAGTCATTCACACATTAGTAAGAACACAAGCCAGGCCTTTTAAAAAAGCAGTGGTCTGAGTCCCTGGCCCATCTTCTCACCCTCACCTCAGTCTCCAGAATCCAGCAAGGGCAGATTGAAAATCTTTATTATTTTTCTTCTCAAATATAAAATCACTTTCTGCCCTGGCAGCTCATTAACACCAGGGAGAATATCAAGAATAAGAATCAAATTGCCAAAAAGAACAGACCCATACCTGCCTATCACCCTGTCCTGCGTTCTTGTCCCATCTGGGAAAAGCAAAAGGCAGAGGTCATGACCTCAAAGCCCTCAAGCAGCTGACCCAGGCATGATGTGGACCCCAGGTGAGTTGGGGAAATCCAGGGTGGATTAAGCTCTGACTGGCTGGGCAGGATCCTGAGGTCCATCAGTACTTGTCGGTGGGGCGCGTGTTCAAGGACACTAAGCGTCCCAGGGGTCCACGGCGAGCGTTGGTGGCCAGCCGTTGCTGTGCCAGGAATGACTGAGCATGGGCAGGCGCCCGCTCTTCCCCTGCTCGCTGCTGCAAGGCCATGCCCTGGAGGGATGGGTTGTGGTTGGCATCAGGTGAGCCCACGGAACCCCCACACACACACACTCCAGCCACGGTGCTGGTACACTCACCATATTATACCAGGCACTGATGAGCAGCTTTTCTTCCTGCTCCCGCTGACTTCGATTCTTCTCAAAGTCCATCTGTCAAGGAGGCAACAGTCAAGGGTCTGGATATGCTGGGGGCAGGGAGAAGGGATGAGAGCACCCACCTCCAGGTGCCGGATTCGGACTTCCCGTTCCCGGAGTTGTGTCCTCAAGGTGCGGAGTTCCAGGGGTGCCCCCTCAGGTGGCCGCTGCTTGGGTTCCAGGGTCTGTATGACCTAGGGATTAGGGAAGACACAGCCAGGGTGACCTTGGCCTCACCGGCTGTTCGATGCATTGGGGTGCGTTAAGTGTGACAGCTCATGGCCATGGTGTAGAAGTCTATGATATGATGGGATATGATAGGCATGGAGGTGGGGAGCAGAGATGTACAAACTGGTGGGAGGTGTGAGCCAATGGAAGGCAGCAACCTGGGTAGGAGGTCACCTAGCGTCCTCACCGTGCGTGCCTTGTCCACATATCGGCGGTACCGTTCCTCCATGGCCCGCAAGTCTGCATCCTTCTTCTGCAGGCTGTCCTGCAGCTCCTCGATACGTCGGGCTGCTGGGGGAACAAGGTGGCCCTTCAGCTCCATGCCGAGCTCAGGGCTCCCCTCACCTGTTAGGCTGCTGAGCCCCGCTCACTGTTGCCATCAGCAGGTGGCTCCAGCTCCTCGATGTACTCGCGCTTCCGCTGTAGCTCCAAATCTGCCTCATGCAGCTTCTGCCTGTGGGCAGGGGACAGGTGGCAGCAGGGGTAACCACAGCATTCCCAGCTGGCCATAAGTGTCCCTACACGGCTGCAAAGATCTCTCTGCCTGCCAGACCAGCACAGGGGCTGTGTGCTCTGGCCCTACCACCTCTTCCACCATCAGAGCAACAACACTCCACACCCCTAGTCAGGTGGCCCCTGGATCAGCCTTCCATTTGTCCACCTCTCACTTCACAGCCCACATGCTGGTCCAGCCACCATCACCCCTCGCCAGCCTCTTCTATTCTCAACTCCTCAGTTCCATTCTCTACCCAGCAGCCAGTGATCTTTCCAGAGTGCAAATCTCTTATAATAAAAGGAAAGGAAATGCAAGCTATAAGTTGCACCTAGGTTCAGTGCCCTGTGCCACCAGTGGCAAAACCCAAAAGATCTTATAACACTCTCTGTAGGTGAGACTATTATTGTGCATTGAACGTGGAACACGATGTAACATTTAATAGTCACTAAAATTACAAAGGCATGTGCCTTCTGAGTAACCAATTCCACTTGTGATGTATTTGCACACAAGTGAAATGATGTCTGTGTAATGTTTTACTTTGTTGAGAAAGACTGAATTCAATACATTATGCTATTCACAAAAAATGCTACAGGCCAGCCTTTCTGGACCAGAATTTTACAGGAGAATTAAAGTCCTAATGCCTCTAGGTACCCAGCCTCTGTAAGGAAATCATTTTTACTGTGCACTGGGTTGGCCTTAGCTACATTCCATCCTTGGCCAGAAGTGAAAAACCACCACCCAAATCATTTTCTGTAAGACCTAGTTAGTTTCCCCACGGAACCCCAGTTGACACAGGCTGCTATTTTTATTTTAAAAATGACTATTTATTCATTTGGGGAAAATTTCCAGTCATCTTAAGTAGGAAAAGCAAAGTGCAGGATAGCACATATTATACTATCTTTTGTGTAAATAAGGAATGAGAATAAAAATCTATATTCATATTCATTTGTATTTGCTTTAAAAACTCTGGAAGAATTTCCATAACAAACTAATAGGAATGTGGGTGGAGTGGATGGAAATTGAATCAATTGGGGGGGTATATATTTTAGTTTTTAAACTATAAACGCGATCAATATTTAAAATAGTTTCTTCTTTAACAATGTAAAAAGTAAAAGGCGACAATCACTTTGTCACACTACCTTACTAAAATTCCCTCTGTGGGGCCCCACTGTTCCCCCCAAACAGTCCTTACTGCTTCCCTTAGCCTTTAAGATCCTACTAGTCTGTATTTCTGCTGACTTGCTCTCCTCATAAATGACTTTCCAATGACACCCTCCATCCCCCACACCTTTGTCCAAACCCCCACTCCCACCCCCGCAAGGAGTACCCTCCCTCTGGGACTCACAGATGTTCCTCTAGCTTCCTCTTCAGCAGGATGGACTGGGAGAGAGAGGAAACATGGGGTGAGTGGGGGTCTAGAGGTCCCAACCCCTGGGGTAGGGGTGCCACCCTGGTCCAGTGGTACTTACAATGGACTGCATGGGGCATTGGGCAGCAGTGGGGAGAGAGAAGAGGGTTACTGGGGGGCAGAAGGAGGGCTAGGCAGGGAGGAGGCATCAAGTGGGCACTCACGTCCTCCGTCTTGCCTCCCAGCTCCTGCAGGGCCTTCTGTAGGTCCTCCACCTGGGCCCGCAGCTCTGACAGCTGCTGCTGGTTCAGCCTGAGAGGGTGGGCAGCCGCTCAATGCCTGCGTTGGCCCTCGGGCCCCTCTCCATGTGCGTAGGGCCCTCCCTCCACCGGGTTCTCACCGGTGCTGTGTCTCTAGCCTGTGGCGCGCACGGTTGGCCTCCTCCAGGTGGCGCTGCAGCTCCTCCTGCCGCTCCCGGTCCACCGCCTCCTGCTGGCACAGACGCTTGTTCTCCAGCTGAAGCTGCAATAGCGTCTCCCTGCGGACCCAGAGGGAGTAGAACAGGGCTGGAGACCCGTCACCCCGTATGCCTGCCAGGGCTCAAGCAGGGGGACCGGGCA